CGCTAGACGGCGGAAATTATATATTATAATAAAGTTACAATACAATAAGTTAATATATAATTATATATACAATACCTAATTTATATATAATTAATATATAATTATATGTACAGTACCTAATTTATATATAATTTATATAATACTGTCCAGACAATAGAAATCTCTCCGTAGCGTGGCGCTACGGACGGCGGGAAAGTAGTTTGGCTGCCCGATGATGTTTAACGTAATTATAGGGGTTTTTTTTACTGTTTTTTACGGATACTGTCACAATTTTTTCGCAGTTTTATAGGAATCGTAATTATTGGGACTGTAATTATAGGGGGGTCGACTGTATTGGAAAAACTGTGATGGAGACAAATACGTCTCCATCACAGTTTTTCCAAAAACTAGCAAAGACATGTATACATATGCCTCATCTTATCTTTAGTTGTCTTCCATTTTCTATACATATAAGGACCTTGAATAAGTTCTCGCTGTTCTTTAACAGATGGCGTTACCAGAACCACGTGTGTTTATTTTTAGATGGTGATGCATCTGTAAGGAAGTACAATAAGTGACCTTGAAATTCAGTATATATCATTTCACCGAAGTGTAAACAACTTATTTTTTCATTGTGTTAAACATGTCTAGTTTCGTGCCAAAAAAAGAGTATTTGCGGGGAATTTTATTGCACTATTTTATTCAAAAAAAATCTGCAGCTGANCTGTATCATGTTATATTTGAAAATATATAAATAAATATTCTTTTCAGAAACAAAAACTTTATTTTATGAAAGGATTTTTTGAATGTGTTTGTATCTACCAAAGTTTGAAGTGGAATTTACAAAACTCTTAACATTACCAAACCAAATCATCTCAATGCAATTGTAGCTTTCAAGTGATAATGAAGACATTAAATTTGCATAAAAATCAGTATCCAATATATTATAATATAAAAGTTTCATATATCTGTGAATCACGAATCTACTTGTATTATTAGTATTTACAAGTAAGTCCATTAGGGTTGGATTCATGAATGTGTCATTACTAAAATAACGACTATATTGTCATTAAACAGTATAACAATATTCAAATATATTAACAAAACATGTTAATTGAAAGGTCATTAATCCATATTGTTATTTTACAACAACAGCAAGAGTGTCATAATTCACCATTTCAAAACAATAAAAGAAACACAAATAAACATTCATACCAAATCTATCAATTATCCCCACATCTATTTATTGATGACATAGTTTTTACACTGAATAAATATTAATGATTATCAAACAGAAGTCATTTTTAAATTAATTGAGAAACACCAATTCTGTATATAAAGATACACTAAGAAAACATAAGCCATTCTAGTGGATACTAATGTTTTATCTTAATATTCTTCATAGTGGCAATTTTTAATCCATTTAATCAATTTTAGATGATAATGTTCATCTTAATCAAGCAATAATATTTGAAATAATTTGATATATATACATGATGTTTTATGTATAATCAAACTAAAGCATGTTACTTTTCTTATCTATGATAAATGTCAATTGTCAACTGCATTACTATATTGCTATGAAGTTTTTAACATGTTTATAATAATCAAAATCATAAGATATATTACATTAAAACAATACAAACAACCTAGATTTTTTGTTTAACTCTGCTTTATTCTGAAATAAAATGATTGTAAAATATGATTTTTATGTACGAAATCTGCTTATTTCAACTATACTCTAGCAATTTTTAAAATTATTATGCAATTATTAATTTGTATTTAACTTCTTAAACTATAAGGTTATAATGTACTTTTATTAATTAATATAACTAATTTATTTATAATTCAATAAATTTATTTTATTTATAGATTAATCTGCTTTTAACATTAATTATTAAATAATTAATTAAATTTAACTTATTTAGAACAATTTAAAAATAATAATTTAGAACAGGATNAGTTTGAAGACAAGGAATTAGAGGCATTACTTCATGAAGACTCATGTCAGACGCTAGCTGAACTTGCAGAATCATTAGGAGTTGATCACACAACAGTTTTGAAACGTTTAAAAGGATTAGGAATGATTCAAAAGCAAGGACATTGGGTGCTGTACGAGTTGCCGAGAAGCCGAGAGATGTCGAACGACGTCTTTTCACATGTGAACAGCTGCTTCAACGGCAGAAAAGGAAAGGTTTTCTGCATCGTATCGTGACAGGTGACGAAAAACGGATACACTACGATAACCCTAAGCGTAGAAAATCGTGGGGTAAGCCCGGTCATGCATCAACATCATCAGCAAGGCTGAATATCCATGGTTCGAAGCTTCTGCTCTGCATTTGGTGGGATCAGCTAGGTGTAGTTTATTACGAGCTGCTCAAACCAAACGAAATCATCACGGGAGATCGCTATCAACTACAATTGATGCGTTTGAGCCAAGCATTGAAGGAAAAACAACCACTATATGAGCAGAGACACGACAAAGTGATTTTGCAACATGACAATGCTCGGCCACATGTTGCACAACCGGTGAAAACGTACTTGGAAACGCTTAAATGGGAAGTCCTACCCCACCCGCCATATNCATCCTTTTGGATGGTCTAACAATTACAATATACAGAAAATCCTTGTTAATGCAAACTCAGATAGTTTTAAATCCTGTTAGTTCATAACTGTACTTTTGTCCCAGCCGGAGATATAGGAATTTACAAGTTAAAGAATTTGGACAGTTTGAAATAGGGCTACTTCAAAATTCAAAGTGATAATTCTGTCCAAATTGTGCCATGCATATGTTAACTCATTCATTTAGATCAAAATACTTCCATACTATGAGAGAACAATAGACTAAGAATAACTTTAATCTGGTCAATATGTCTTCACTTTTACAGAAACACATTTTTGGGTGTTACCTTACCCACGGACTATCCTTTTTTCTTTTATTTTTCATAAAATACAGTTGGTTTTTGGGATTGAAAGATTGGGCTATGAGTAGCAGATTGAGAACACATTAATAATAATTAATCTTAATAATTATTAACATAGAATTATGTAAATTAGTTTAAATAAACATTTTGTGTAATTTTGGAATTTTGACCTTTGACTGTTTGGTCCATGAATAATTAGCTAGTTTGTAATAAATCTGAGTCCCATGAAAATATGTAAATTATGCTACCCCTCTATAGCATGTTCCTATTTTCATTAGACTTGACAAAAAGTTTAGTTTCATTCACTTTAGACTTGACAAAAGATGCCAAAGATTGCTGCATTAAATATTATGAAGTAGATGCTTTATGCTTCATAAATGAATTCGTGTTTTAAAAATCAAGCACAAGTTTTGTTTATTGATTTGAAAAATATATATCATTGAAATTTTGTAGGACATTGTAAATTACGAATTATGTGAATCTTACCCTAATATAGTAATATTATTACATTTAATACTTATTTTACTGGTAACAATTCCTTTGGGAGAATGGAGTTTTAGTAAATTAAAAATTATAAAAAATTATTTCAGATCAAAAATGCATCATGAACATTTTATCAATTTAAATATTTTATCAATAGAAACTGAAATGTTTTGTGAAGCAAATTTCAACAATGTATTTGATAATTTTGGTCAAAGAAAAGCTTGAAAAATAAAATTATTGAAAAAATGTATTATTATATTGAAATAAAAAGTATAAAATATCTGAATGGTTTTTTTTTTTTTTTTTGAATGGTGCAATTTTCTTTTTGGGCCATAGGTGCCAAAATTCCTCACTACATTTCTGTCCAAAACGCTAAAATCTCTTTGACTTTGATAAACTCTCTGAAGTCAGAGAGTTTATCATTCATGGCTCTAACATCAGCCAAAAGACTTCTATTCTGCAGACATAACATCATTGACAAAATGATGGGAGAAGTATCAACATGTAGATTGAGTGTACCTAGAGAAAAAACATAAATTTGGACTATATAACACATACAGTTCCATTGCTATTACTGAAATTCTGGAGAGAAAGAAGATGAACTGCTCTTGTATTTACCATAATTTTTCTGCATTTAATATTCTAGTATAAGTTTATAAATATAATTTGTAAGTATAGTTATAAATTCAATTGTAAAATTAGAAAACAATCATAATTTTTCAATTATACCATTAAGGGTGTCAATGAATATTAATGTTTTTTACTTCTATGATCTTACTGTTTTACTTTTTTGTTTTTATATTGTCTACTTGGACCTTGTTTATAAATAGGACTGGTGTAGTTTCTGATTAGCAAAAAGAGGAAATCTTAATCAAAATGTAAAACAAAATATCTTTACTTTCACATAAAAAATATTTTGTTTTTATATTGTCCAAGTAGGCAATATACAGTTGACCCCCTATAACACTGTTGATTATTCCGTTTTATATGAATTCCATGTTGTACGAGTCACTTAGATTTTACAAATACATGAGTCATTCACAGCCTGGCGCACGTATTTGCAAAATCTAAGTGACTTGTACAACATGGAATTCATATAAAACGGAATAATCAACAGTGTTATAGGGGGGGTCAACTGTACAAAAACAAAAACATATCAATAAATAGTTTGATGAGTTTAAAATTTCAACTTCCAGAGATGATTGATATACAAATTCTCCATTTGTTCATTTGCTAAAGCAGGTTTGTTTGATTCACACTTTGGAAGAAATCATTTTATGACATACAGTAAATGTTATTAGAGAAACAGGTTTTGCATCAGAATATACAGTTAATTTTTAAAAAATTACTTAAAAAGTGAACAATAGATGGTACTGAGATCAGTGTTACTGCTTCCATGTTACTTGGTTTATATATATAACAGTAATTATTATTATTAGATATGACTAATTTTAATTTAATAACTATTTACTGTTAAGTTAAAAAAATTTTAACTTAATATTTACAGTTACAAACATATTTTCAGTAATTAATTCTGTAAATTTTAATCAATAAGATAAAAATTATGAAATCACAAAATTATTTTCTACCTGAATAAGAGCTTGGTATATTTTATCTTCAATATATTCATAATAGTCATATAGTCGTGATGCTTTATGAGAATTAGTTTGGCAAACTAAGCCTTCTATATTTGTCATCAAAGATGGAAGAGCACGATACTGTCTTACTGCAGTTTCTAATAGTTCTGTTTTTCTTCTTTCAATAAATTTAAAATAATCCTAAATTCATAAATTCAAAATTAAATTAATCAAAATTTTATTTATAATATAATACATAAACTTTATTATATTATAAATAACGTTTTGATTAATTTAATTTTCTGTAAAGAAAAAAACAACATTTAATAATATTTAATTGTTAAAATAGGCAATTTCATACACATTTCATTAACCTAATAGTCATATTATCAATAATTATCTGCCTATTTATTGTTATGCAAACAATTAAATCTCATGTTTATTTTTACTTATTTTGATTAATATTTTTGTATGTAAAAAAAATCCCCTGAAAATATATACTGTAAATTTGACTGCTTTCTTTCAGAGATCCTCTTTTGTTCTTTTTCTTTGTTGTCCTGTTTTCTCCTCTAGCAGTCATACTAATTGGTTGATTAAAATTGTATGTGTGTTACCACAGTCAAGTTGTTATTGGTTATTAATAAACAAAGACAACTTGACTGTGGTAACACACATACAATTTTCAATACAATTCATAAAGAAAAGGCACTATATCTGGCCTTTTTAGATTAATTATAAAAGTTAATTGTTAACCAAATAGAATTGTTAATAACTAATTTATAATCATGATAATTATATTATGAGTGAAACTGTTAATTAAGGTTTTAAAGATGTAAGATGTATATATGATTTTTAAATTGTAGAGCTGCTAACTTTAGAAGCTGCTAAACTTTTGCAAGATGTCTTTCTGTATTCCAATAAATGAGTTTTAATTGTAAATGGAGTTCTTGCCTTGGTGCCCATTCCACACCCCATACACCATACACTTCTTCTCACTATCTGAATGACTATTCTCTTCTGCTCTCCTTTAGCAGAAGCTGCTAAAGAGCATGCTACATGTGATATCAGATGTATGATTAAACCTCAGAAAGTCCACACATAAATATATTTTTTAAATGTATCTATGGTAGATATGTGAAAATATTTTTAAAAGATATTCACATAAAAATGTTAATTTATCTGTTCAAAAGAATACATATTTGTTTAAATTTTGTATGTGTTCTAGTAAATATGTTAAAAATTTGGAGTGGAATTGAAATACACTCTAAGAATACAAAAAAGTCCCATCCTTCCATGTGACTTCTCATGAAGATTATCAGCAAGTTGGCCAGAAAAAAATCATCCAAAACTGAAATGCAGCATTAAGTATTTCAGAAACCCATAGGCTAGCTAGATGTGAGAAAGTTTCCCTTATTTAAATTGGCATGCTACTCAATGTGTGAAAATACAGTATAATGATTCTTGTTTTATTATATGTCCATGAGCATACTGCTTTTATTACTTGTTATATATTTATATATTTCTTCAAGATAAAGTTTTTAGTTTATCATACTGTAAAATCACAATTTATGATTATTAGAAATAAATAAAAAGAATAAAGATTAAAAAGTCCAGGATAAAATATATTTTAAAAATTTACAATATTGAAGAATAAATACAAAAAAAAAAAAAAACATTTTTGAAGTCTTCTGAATATCACTGAAGGTGCCTCCTTGTGTTCTGGTGATTACCAGAACACGAGGAGGCACCTTTTCTTTACAAACTCATCTACAACTTTTACACAATTTGCCTATATTTATGCAAATTGTTTAAAAGTTCTTGTACATTTTTTAAATGAAAAAATTATTTGATAAAAATATTTTAAGTTTGTTTTCAAGTAATAGTAAAAAGCATGTTTAATTTGCATTAATAGATAATACATAGTACTGAAAACAAAATAAAATAACTGGTTATAAATTATTAATAAAGTTAACTGTTTACCTTGCATGATGGCAAACTATCACCTTTAGAAAGTTGAGTATCAAAAAACTTTATTGTTGAAATTTTTTGAATGCAAATTTCCAAATCATTATTAGTCTTCTGAATCTGATTTAATAATGACTGCAGTTTTGAAATTTCCTATAAAATATGTATATATTATTCATATGCTTTCACATTCATAATTCATCTAATAATTTATTTAAAGATTTAAACAGAGGAAATTAGAGAAATATCAATGCTTAATTATAAAATAGACAGACTAAATATATATTTCATATGTCAATAATCCATGAATACCAAGCAAATGAAAACATTTTCTCAAAATAATCTGATTTTACTATATCAAAAAAAAATCAATTTAATTATCAAAGAGAAAATCAGAACATTTTTAAACTTCCTTACATTCCATTACTTTTTCCATTTTTCTGTTTTCTATTTTTTCTCTTAATAATATATTTTTATATAAATCATACAACCTGTTAATGGAGATCAAAATACTTCAAAGAAATTAGAATTTGTAAAATGATGGAATAAATTTCTATATATTTTAAAATTATATATATGCCTACATAATAATATATTAGATATACTGTATAATCTAATATATATTACATAATGTATGCATATTTTTGTTATTTACGTATAAAAATATATATGTATATACATGGAAATTAAAGCATGTGCTGCAATTTCCTACAAATAACCCATGGGTTATCAGTGTGTTAAATTCAATTTGAAAGGTGCTGTAGGTTATCTGTCAATTTTAAACTGTAATTAAAACCTCACTCAACAGTTTTCCTATTATCTAAACTTAACAAGTGTCTTCAAAATCATGAAGTATCTTTTATGCACCACATGTACAGTCGACCCCCCTATAAGATCATAGATACGTTCCATTTTTTAGGAATCCGATTTCTTACGAGTCGTTCCAATCACAGCCCGACACGTGTCAAGTTTACGGACTACGGCTGATTGAAAGGTTTTCTTCCATAAAATTAATCAATTCTAGACTAATCCGACTCAACATTTCCAAAATACGTATATTTTTTTTTGGAAATAATCCGTATAAACTACGCTATAAATAAAAAATTGTAGGATTACTTACCGAGTGTCACCATTCGACATCGCCATTGCTCAACATTGTTTTCGTCGCGGAACAGCTCAGCAAACCGCGGCCGATTTCTAATAACTTATTTTTCTGCGAATAGTTCCTTGAACTTCGGAGACATCATTAATATAAATAATTTTAATCGCCGTTGAATAAGAAATGTTTCTTTCACAAGAAATGTATAAAATTACAGTACTGTATT